ATATGGGATCCGAACCCTCGGCGGGAGCGCCGCCGTGCTCCCAAGCGCCACACTCTACCGACTGCGCCACCGGGCCGGCCCAGGATAAATATTTTTATATAGAGAAGCAGAATAAAGAAGTACTAGTGAGCCCCCCCAATTTTTTTATATAAATAAAGACAATAATATAGTATTTATATATTAATTATAATTTGATATATAATGTTAATATATTTTTATTTTTTGTTTATGTAAAATATAAACAAACTGTGGATATGTATTTGTCTCACCAGTACTGCTTTTTAGAGGAGGAAGGTGCTCGCTGGAATTTTCAGTTTCTTTCCTTGGTCTTCCTTTTTTTCAGCGTTTTAATATGAGGTTGTGCCCTTTCTTTGTTGGGTTACTGCTAGTAAACCTTTTGTAGGTTTTTGCTATTTTTATTAATTTTTGTTAATTAGGCACTTAGGGAGGGAAATTCTATGTGATTCGGCCCTACTTTGCTATCTTTACCTAGGATTTGACTTTTTTTAAATCAGTGAATTTTTAAATTTTTTTTTTACTTTTAATCTTGCTGTTTCTTATTCTCCACTTTTACAATGTGGCTTGTTTTGGGTAGTCAGAGGGAAGAAAATGTCAAATGAAATAGTTAATTTTATTTTCAACCTAAATATTTAATGGTTTATTCCCTTTCATTTTTTACAGGACCTGTACATTGATCGTCCTTTACCTTATCTAATTGGGTCAAAGCTGTTCATGGAGCAAGAAGATGTAGGTCTTGGAGAACTGTCTAGTGAAGGTACTCTTCTTCACCCAGTATTTTTGTTACTTTTAACATTTATGTCTTTTTTATTTTAAAATAATTTCATCCTTACATTAAAGTTGCAAGAATAGTACACAATGAACTCCCATGTACCCTTCATCCAGGGTTACCAGTTGTTAATGTGTCATGACATTTGTTTATCATTCTTTCTAAATATACATAATATGTTTTTCTGAACCTATTTGAGGCATTGTGCCCCATTACTCCTAAGTATTTCTAAGTATAAGAACAAGGACAGTCTCTTATATAACCACAGTATAATGATCAAAATTAGGACTTTTACTGGACATAATAGTATTACCTAATCTTTAGTCATATTCAGATTTTTCCACTTGTTCCAATAATGTCCTTTATAGTTTCTCTTTTTTCTCTGGTCCAAGACTCACTCTAGGACCACTCACGGTATTTAGTTGTCAAATCTCTCTAGTCATCTTTTAGTCTGATACAATTTCCCGACATTTGTTTGTTTTTCATATCCTTGACATTTTTGAAGAACATAGGCCAGGTTTTTTTCTTTGTAATGAATAATTATTTTTGTAAGTATTCTGTGGGAAGATACTTTGAGACTATGTAAATATCACAGTTCTTACTATTATGAAGAGACTTTTAATTCCAGCGGATGAGTATTAATGTTTTATCAAAATCTCTGTGATGCTGTTGTATGGTGGTTTGTGGTGTTTAGGAGGAACTAAGGACATTTTCTTGTGAATATTGGTGGCAACTCTGTCTCCCTTCTCAACAGAAGGTTCCATAGGCAGCGACCGTGGTAGTATCGTGGACAGTGAAGAAGAGAAAGAAGAAGAGGTATGGACTGTTTGGCATGACTAGCTCATGGTGGGCACTGATAGAAGCCATATTCTGAAGTTTTTTTCCTTTGGGTTAGATTTCCTTTTTGTCTTGTGTACAAAAACATGTAAAACAGCTTTAATCTCTTTCACCATCACCCTCCCTCTCATCTTGCCGCCAAAGCCCTCATTCTCCCAATATATTTTGAAGACGGCAGCATAGATGTTTTGGTGGAATCTCTGCCTGAGTTATAGTCTTTGAGTTTGTGCTAACTTTGAATAATTCTAGGGAAAAAAA